GCCGTCCAGAAGCCGGCGACTGATCTGCCTCGCCAGAGAAGAGCGCGATGATGGTGCCAACTTGGGCCAGTGAAGCAACATCCTCCACAACTAGATTGAAGAACAAAAATGACAGCAACTTGTCTGTTCCCCATCCCCCAACTCCCCAGCACTGTTCCCATCCCCCCAATTCCCCAATAAAAAAAAATCTTAAAAAAAAGAAAAGCTGTAAAAATAATAAAAATAAAACCAGATCCCTTCTTTGCTTCTCCACATTATATAAAAAAATTAAGAGCAATTATTTTTACCCTTGGATCAGGGGTTCTCAATTGGGGGTGATCTTGTCCTCCAAGAGACATTTGGCTTTTTCTGGAGACATTTTGTTCTTCACAGTTGGAGGGAAGAGCACTGCTGGCATCTAGTGGGTAGAGGCCAAGGGTGCTGCTAAACATCCTACAATGCACAGAATAGCCCCCCATAACAAAGAATGATCTGGCCCCAAAAGTCAACCACACCAAGGTTGGGAAATCCTGCCCTAGATCAAGCTCCGTCAGGACAGAGCAGGTACACAGTGCATCCAGTCTTTCCCACAACTGCAGTGGTCCTTTGGAACGATGGCATCCCTTATGTTGAGGGCAGTTTTTAGAAGCCACCCTAAGAAACTCACTGTCAAGGCGATGGTAAGGATGTGAACCACAATCATCTCTCTAGGAGTGTCCTTGGGAGAAACTTCTGCTTGGTTTTAGCTCCAAGAATAGTTGTACTGCCCTGAGTAGTCTGTCCCTGTTTTATCTCATGGACACTGTGAACTCTGGAATGGACCAGACTTTCCTTTTTGGGTTTGCTGCTAAACAGTTTTGAGCCAAACTTGTGGCCTACCTGTAGGAAGGGCATAGGTATTACATTTTACATTTTTTAGTTTTATTCCTGGCTCCATTTTATACCTCTACTTTTCTTTCTTTCTTTTTAAAAAAAAATCATTTCTTTTCTCTTTATTTCCTTCATTCCTACTTTTAATTTTTGCCATCTTGTGGTGTTTGATGTGTCTTGGTAAGGTATTTATGCTGTGCAAGAAGAAACAACACACTATATAAACAAATATAAACAGTGAGTCTCTCCTTAGCTCTGGGAAGGAAGCAGGAGGTAGAAGGTGGCAGGACTGTGGGCAGGGACCAATGACCTCCCTGTAGGGTGTAATGCATTCTTGCTCCAGAAGCCTGGATAGGTGGTGAGGGGACAGGGTGTAAGGAAGTAGGGGGATTCTTAGAGCAGGTCAGCTGTTCCTGGGTTGCTGTGTAGGACACTGTGGCCTCTTGTTGTTGGAAGGAGCTGGGCTTCCAGAGGACAAGTCACAGACATGGGGACAGAGCTGGTAGGAGAGAGGGCCCTAAGATGGGCAGGACTAGGTGATATATTAGACTAGTGCATAGCAAAAGTGATGGGATGTCACTTTTGAGGTTAGGTTACAACAAGACTGTGGCTTCCTTTCATCTTGTTCACTTTCTCTCTCTCTCTCCCTTGCTGATTCACTCAGAGAGAAAGCAGCTGCCACCATGTGAGCTGCCCTGTGAAGATGCCCACATGGCGAGGAGCTGATGTTCCCAGCGAGTGAGGCCAATAGCCCCATGAGTGAGCTTAGAAGCAGACCCTCTTCCAGTGGAACCTAAAGATAAGGGCAGCCCACTGGCATCTTGATTGCCATCTTGTTGAGGGCCACAGGCACCCAGCTGAGCCATGCCTAGATTCTGGACTCAGAAACCATGAGTTAGTAAATGTTTGTGTTTTTAAGTTACTAAATTTTGAGATAATACAACATGGAGGGCTGTAGGGTAATGTGGTTCTCTGGGAGAACCTGGGGAGACTTCTTGGGGAGGTGTGTCTGTGCTGAGCCTGGAAGGGTGGGCAGGATGTAAATGTGAGGAGAAGATGGAGAAAGGCTCTTAGGCAGGGGAACAGCAAACAGGTATATTCCAGGAATATGAAATCTGGTTTGGTGGAAATCACTTCACCTACATAAAAACCTGGATGGGCACTGGATGGAAATGCCCTACATGAGGTGAGAGTGGGCTCTTCTGTATCAGAGGTACATGTCTTCACGGGAACTGTGGCCTCTCTCCCGTGCTACCTCACACCTTCCCTCAGGTTCTCTGGCATGACTCACTGGCACTCAGGGCACTTCCACCTCTGGGGCATCAGGGAGGTGGCTCCCTTGTCTCTGGCCACACTTTCCCCTCTCCTGCCAGTGCTGCTTGGGCAGGAGTATGAAAGAGGCTTCTTGGTTGGGGCAGGTCCTTTTTTGTTTCCCTGGGCTTCTTGTCCTGGGGGAGGCTTGAGCTCAGCTTATTTATAGGATGTCTGGCCTCCTAGTGGCCTTAAGCGCCCCTCTGGGCCTCGCACACTGTATTTCAGGATAGTATGTCCCTGGGATCTTGTACCCACTGAAGCACCTCCAGTCCTCAGCTGTGGTAACTTACACCACCAGCATCCCCTTTCTTCCTTTAATTTCTTCAATCTGATTCTGACCTCCAGGGTCTGCAAAGGGGCAGGTGCCAATTGGAGAAGCTCCTGTTCTCAGGGATTACTCTGGGGGTTTTCCTGGCTACTTTTTTGATGTGTAGGATGGTCCCTGCACCCATATATACATGAGTATGTAGCACAGGTGCACATACAAGGCACACATGCACACACACACACACACACACACACACACACAATTGCAGTAGGTGGGTAAGTAGAGCAGAGGCCCAGTGAGGGCATTAGACGAGGAGCCTGGAGACCCGTGTTCCAGCCCTAGCTCCAGACCCTCAGTGACCACGGAGAAATCATATCTCCCCTCCATGTTTGTGTTCTCCTTTGTAACATGATGGAATTAGAGCAGATGTCTCCAAGGCATCTTCTTTCTGTGATCTAGATGCAGACACATTGCAGACATGTGGGATACGCATTGGGTTTAGAGGCTGGGTTTACAGTGTTCAGTTACACTGGCTTTGGGGGCAGATAGACAGTGTTTAACTTCTGGCTTTGCTGCTGTCAGGCTGTATGACCCTGGACAAGATGCTTCCTCTCACCCACTTCCTCATCTGTAGGGTGGGATTAATTAAACCTCACTGTGTCAAGATTAAATAAGGCGATTTATGCAACAATGCTGATGCAGTATAAATGACATGTTATTACTGGTTTTAGCTCTGTCCTGAATTGACTGAGTGTGTTGGGTAAACCAAATGAGCTTTTCTAGATCATAGTTTCCTCTGTAGACCGGAGTGTGGATGAGTTGAAGATCTTCAAGGCACCTTCCTTTTACCATCTCACACACAGCTCCGAGATGGGATTACGTTGAACGTGGCTGTTTGCAGATTTACCACACGGGGGCGATGTGATCCCATTTTGAACAAACCTCAGACTTATGTTGCTCTTGAGGAAAAATGTCTGCCCCTTTGTAGGTTCCATTTCCCAGTTTCTACCCCTCCTCCTGTTTTTGTTTTTGTTTTTTTAATTTAAAATTTAGAACTCTTTTTAACTGAAAATTGCAGAAATGCTCAACATCACATTTCTGGAAACAACCTAAGTGCCCTCATCCATGTCCTACTCACAGCCTTTCAGCCTCATGGTGGATCCGTTTTTCTTCCAGTCTCCTTCTGCCAGCTTTATTTTGTCTGTCTGCTCACCCACCTTTCTGCCCATATTCTCCACCATTTTCTCAAACGGAGCTGTTCTACCAGTTCCAGCTTTTTGCTTCTAGAACCCAGCATTCGGGTGCTTGGAACAAACCACCCTGCTGTCTTTCAAGTTCCCAGCCTCAAGGAGCTGAAAAGAACCATTGCCAATCAACTCCCCCAGTTTACCTTTTTTCTGTCCTGAAGGATTTTCTGGGAGCGGATTGCTAGCAGCTCAGGTGCTCCCCCATCCCACTCCTGATAAGTAGGATGTTCTTGCTCGGTTGCAGCCAGAGCCCTCTCTTGGCTCCTTCTACCAGTCTGGCCTTGGGGACACAGGGAGGGTGGCAATGGCACAGTAGTGACTGAGTTTGTTTTGCTGGGGTTCTCAGGTTTTGGTTCCTTTCGGGGCCCTCTGTTTTGGGGGTGCTCTGCATCTACCTGGTCACCTTGCTGGGTAGCTCCCTGATCATCCTCCTCGCACTGGCGGACCCTGCCCTGCACTCACCCATGTATTTCTTCCTCCGCCACTTCTCCATGGTGGAGGTCCTTTACACAACAACCATTGTGCCCGAGATGCTGGCTGGTCTCCTCTCCTCCTGCCCACCATCCCATCTGCCATCTACTTCACCCAGCTGTATTTCTTTGCCCTCTTTGGCATCGCAGAATGCTGCCTGCTCACTGCCATGGCCTATGGCCACTATGCTGCCATCTGCTGGCTGCTGCATTATACCACCCTGATGAAACTGGGCGTGTGTGCCAGCCTGGTGAGGGCCTCTTACCTTATGGGCATCATCACCGGCACCACACACTCCATCTTCATCTTCACTTTGTCCTTCCACGATGCCAACACAATCCATCACTTCCTGTGTGACATTCTGCCTGGGCTGAGACTGGCTAGCACAAACACCTTCTGGGGCGAAGTGGGCAATTTTGCCCTCACAATAGCCTTTATCCTGACCCCCTTCTCACTCATCATAGCCTCCTATACCTGTATCCTCGCCACCATCCTGGGGGTCATGACATCCCAGGGACATCGAAAAGTCTTCTCTACCTGTTCTCCCACCTGTTTGTCGTCATGCTCTTTTTTGGGCCTGGGACTGTTGCCTATATGAGGCCATGGGCAGGCTACTTTCAGGACGCGGACCAGTTCCTTGCCCTCTCCTACACAGTTGTCGCTCTCACGTCCAACCCTTTGTCTACATTCTGGGGAACAAGGAGGTCACAGGGGCAGTGAGGAAGCTCGTGAAGAGATATCTTTGGAGCCTTGATTCACTGGAGTTCTTGGATATAAGGGCCTGATCCTTGGACAATTTCAAGGAGGAGTGGGAAGCTGGGACCAGCAGTCCTCAGGGGTCTGGCCTGGGCTCTGTGTGGTGAGTGTGGGGTTCCTTGGCCTGTCTAGCTCAAGGGCACAAGGCACTGACATACTGCTCAGAGCTCTGCTCCAGGGCCTCTTCTTATGGCCTTGATCTGATTTGTTTGTAGGTGTTGAGCTGAAGAAACATGCACTTGAGGAAAGCTTGAGGAGAGAAGGCAGCTGTGACCATCTTGTGTGATGACCAAGCATTTCCTGGTCTTTCCGGAGGCTCATTAGGGCTATGATTCCTGGAGACTCCGCTCTTTCTTCTTCTCCCTGACTCCTCATTGCAAGACTCTGTCTCTCACATCAGTCACCGCTGGTACAGCGAGAGCTCCTTTGCTCCAGGTGTGAGGTTTGATCTGGGTGACTAGGGTGGCAGAGAAACTGGGAGTGGTTGGCCTGGCTTTGGCAGTTCAGGCACTGCTTGGTGCTACCTTAAGTAGGTCTAGCTACTTTGCTCCTTCCTGACTGACAACTTCTCTCCTGGGGATCCCTGAGATGTTGATATTCTCTACTTAGCTTCTTTCTCACCTGTGGGCAGACTTGCTCTTCATTTCTATCTCTGGTGCTACAGTAGAAATGATCATGCATCTCTCTTCCCTGATTAGAAGGTCAGATCTGGTCCCTAGACTCCTAAGATGATGCTTTTGTTTCTTCCAAACTGTCCATTATTTCTACTTGGAGTCGTTTTAATTTGCTGACGAGAGGGATCTAGCATCGTTTTACTTTTCTTGGCAAGGCATTCTTGCTTGTTCATGAACTCTCATTCAGCAATAAGCCTCTGGAGGGAGCAGTACAAGCAGGGAAATCACTCTCAAGGCACATAAATGAGGACCTTTGAAACAGCACTGATTTTCTCTTTCAGTTTACAAAAGTAACACTCTTAATTGCAGAGGATCTTGCATCCAGAAGTAAAGAAAATATTAACATTTTGGTGTTAATAATGTCCTTGGGAAATTATTTCAGTCTGGTTTCCCTCTACATATGTATATATACACATTTTTAAGAACTAAAAATAGGATTATATTATCTAAATTGTTCTATAAACTTCATTTTCCACTTTATTAAGCTATATTGTAGAATTTTACCATATAGGTAGACTTCTAAAGCATGATTTTAATATCCATATTGTATCTTACTATATGCATGTACTATGATTTACTTATTTATTTATATTTTATTTAAATATAGTTGATATACAATATTATATTAATTTCAGGTGTACAATATAGTGCTATAATGTAAAGCAACCTCCTATTATTGGAATTAAAATTTGTTATAAATATTGCTGAGATAAATATTGTTGCACTTATATCTTTATATACTTATGTGTTTCTGAGCACAAACTTCTAGAGATGGAATTGCTGAGTCAAAACATATGCATAGTTTTAGAGATTTCAAAACATATTGTCAAATTGCCCTCCAAAAGAATTTTTATTGTTTTATAGTCCAGCAGAGGGCAGTCCAATTTTCAGGGCAAGGAAATGGACTAAACACCAGGGATGAGTTAGAGTTAGATGGCCTGGGGACAAGAAACATGGGGAGGTGTGGATATTTATGTTCTTGTAATGCAGAAAAGATCCGATGAGGAGGACATGAACTCACTTTCCTTCAGTCTCACCAAATATATCTGAGTGAGATATATTTGGACTGAGAGTGCAACATGAGGCATCAAAGTTAGATCAAGGAATGACTTCCTGATAGAGTTAGTATATGAATAAGACAAGGGGAGGGGCTTTTTCCTCCACTGAAATTGGACTGGCTTGGCCCCAGATGGCTTCATGCTTCTGTCACTTGCAAGAGTGTACAGCTAGCTAGCTGCATAGCTGATGACACAGACATTGTGAAGCAGAGACAAGCCATCCTTGTTGTGCTCTAAATTCCTGGCCTGCAGAAAGTATGAGCATAATAAAATGATTGATGTTTAATACCACTAGATTTGGGATGGTTGTTATGCAGCAATAGATAACTTGAGCACCATCCAATTAATGAAGAAGAGTGAATTGTATTAACACATTGGACAAAGTTTTAGGTTTCTTGTTGAGTAGACATAAAATACTGACATCAAAGAAGAAAACATAAAATTTAATATGCTACTACAATGAGAACCTTGAGGACAAACTGGCTAATGAGTGAGGTTAGTTCAAAGACTATTTAAGATAATTCATTTCACAGGAAAGCTTGAAATATTGTGAAAATCTACAGCTAATATATGAAAGAAAGTTGACTGAGGTTTGACCAAATTTGAAAACAAATCTAAAAACTTACATAAAATTACAAATAATGAGTCATTGAAGCTTAAAAATTTCTTTTCTAAACTATCAATTAAAGAAAAATAAATTTCAATCAACCATGCTAGGGAAAAGGCAAATTATCTTTCTAATCTCTGCAGAAAGTGTATTACAAGATTGTCATGAATATGAAATTAATCAAATAGTACACAGCAAACAATGTATGATAAAAAGAATTATAGAGGTGACCAGGCAGTTAATTAACAAAAATATACTATTTTTCTGGATTGTATGACATTTGTGGCATTTGCCAATTAAAAATTTCTAATTTTAATAATTTATTTTTTCATTTAAAATAAACATTTGTATCTAATTTTATATTTGTAATTTTATTTTATTTTATTAAGTAGAGCCATCTCAAATTATATAAGTTTTAGGTTCCACAAAATTGGGATCCATCCCTGTTCCTACCACGTAGGGTTTTTATGGTAAATAAATAGACAATTGTTAGTTAAGAGGTTAGTATCATGTTTACTAATTATGTACTCAAACAATATTAGCTATTATTATTACTATTCATTCTGACTCAACTGCCTTTGTGTGCTTCCTGATCAGGCCCTAATCACTTACTTTATGCCACAAATTCCTACCAGTCCACTGCACTGCTATTTCTCGCCTCTTTTCAATGGAGAGTGTGTTAGAATCGCCTGGATTTCAGTTACAGCAGTGGGATCTGGTGGACATTTGTCTCTTTCCAGAACCCTTTGAACACTCCTCCAATGTTTGGGACATTTTCTGCATTGAGTCCACTCTCCCGAAAGAAATAGCCAGAAAACTTGCTTTCCCAGCTGCCTTTGCAGCTAGGGCACCGGCATGTGACTGGTTCTGCTAGTTAGACTCATTGGCATGATACTTTGGTTTGAAGCTGAGCACTGTGGTAGAGGGATGCAGAATTTATGGTCTGGAGAATGTGTGGAAGAGGAACCTGGCTCTTGGGGGCAGCTGTGACAGAGTTCTGGTGTCTGGTCCCGGGTGCCATCAGTATGCTCTGGGCAGTGCTGTGCGAAACAAGTTCCTAGTGTCAGTGGTGTGGATACCCAGGCCACCCAGTGGAGTGTTGAGTGTCGCCCGGGCAGCATGGCTGAAGACTCTGGCTCTCTGCCCTGCTTGACGACTCTGTGCACTGCTACTTTGAATAATCCCTCTCTGCATAAGATGACCAGAGTGGAATCTGTTGTTTGCAACTAGACGTCCTGACTGATAAACTAGTTAGTGGTCTCTATGTCTCCTTTTTCTGTCACTATTATCTAGTCCTCACACCACAGCTAGAATGATCTTTTAAAAACTCAAATCTGATTTTGTCACTTGGGATGAGAGTCCCCGAATTCTAAAGTGACCCCACCATCTTTCATGATCTGGATGGTGGTGGGAGCACACCTATCACCCTGCTCCTTAGGTTTTCCACAAGATGAAGGGATTTTTAAAATTCCACTTCTCAAAGGGAACAAGGATAGAAACACTTCCCACCTTTCTCTCTAGCCCCTCACTCTGTTCTCATGGGAGGAGTAAATTACTGACTGGTGATACTGTACAAAGCATTTTTGCGCATGCGTGGCCTAAGCCCTCTTTGGCTTTCTTTCTCAGGCTGGCTCGCCTTAGACTGCACACCTTCTTCCATCCTTCAGGTGGTGAGCCTGGGGACAGGTCTGCTTGTCCTGTGACTTGTCATTTGTACAGATCCTCTGCCCTTACTGGGGGGTGGTGATAAATGTGAGGAGTAGAAAGCTCATTTTTGACCTTGGGTTCAAGCCCAATCCTCCAATTCAGCTTGCCTAGTAATAAAGCTGATCTTTTGTGTCCTAACTCCAGTGTATTTTCCTAGTTGGCAGAGAACCCAAAAGGGGAGAAATGTGGTTAATTAACCTTTTAACCCCCAACAATTTGGTTACCACATATTTTCCTTCTCACTTCCCCGTTGCTCACGATACTCAATCGTAATGAGTGAGCGAGCCATGCTCTTGCTCATCTACTAACCTCTGCACATTCTATTTCCTTTCTTACTTCTTCCTCTGGATAACTTCTTCTTGTTGTTCATACTTCAGTTAAGATATCCTTTCCTCCTTGGAGCCTTCTCAGTCCCTCTCAGGCTAGATTAAGGACTTCTTTCCTGTGCTCCTCGCTATCCTGTCTTGCTATCGTTAGTACACAACTCATATAAAATTGTAATTGCTTGTTAACTGGTCTGTCTCCTCCATCAGGTTGTGTTTTATTCTCCTTTGCACCGAATTCCTGGCACATAGCTTGACATGGTATTTTCTGAATGAATGTATTAAACTTGAGCTTCCCAAAGGGTACATCATGGTACACTGGAGGGCCCTATGGATTGGAAGTGTCTGTAAGAGCATGACCTTCTTAGCCCTTGGTTACTGCATTGTGGGGTCTTGGAATGGTGCATTGCAGCTGACCATAAATAGCCTTGCCTGAGGCTACTCAGGGGGAAGCCCCAAAAGAGTGGGCTTTGGTGATGCACCCTGAGGTTTCTGCAGCTGGTAAGAAAAGTGAGCCATAGCCACTGCTTGGCCTCAACAGGCTGAGGGCAGCCCAGGAAGTGCTCTGCAATCTTCATGCCTACTCCAGCAGCCAGCTCCCAGGTGTCCTCCTGCCCGCTGTGGATGAGGGGCCCATGGAGCTGTGGAGGAGTTGGGGTT